ATGGCAACATAGTTAATTTGAAAGAATTTGCACGCCATTATTTTGATAAGCCTCTTTCTGAATCTTTTCATATATATAGAAGAAGGGCGATCCTGTTTTGCATGCTTAATCAATTTTTTCTTAGTAGTGGTAAAAATAATGAGGGCCAATCAATTATAACCACTGTTTTAGAACAAATTGAATCAGGGAGAAATCCAATGCCATTGATAGTTGGAGAGACTATGATTAGTCTGGATGAATTGAAAAGGAACCCAAAAGCGCCTTTTTGCGGCTCTCCAATTTTATTACAGGTAGAAAAATAATATTTTTAATTACAGAAATCAAAAAAATATATTTTTGTATTGTAATAATAATTTATTTGTATTGCAATTTTTCGCAGATGTGACTAATGGAGAGGCTAGGATTAATTAGCCCTCCGGACGATATCGAGAAGTATACTCCCAATTGCTTCGTGAGAAGGAAGAAGCGCATCCCTAAAATGGGGCGCCATGGGTGGAGAAAAGTCTTCGAATCACGTGATTTTGCTATCAGGTGGGTCATCCCATGGTGGAAAATAGAAAGGATGGTTGGTGTTAACAAGCAACCTTTCTGCCGTCTTCCAAGCTTGTCTCGTGTAACTTATTATTATCCCTGCAGGGTAAAAAGACAATACGGCTTGCTTCAGAATATTCCTTCCGGGGATCTTCGTCCTCCCTATGAGTACCCTGTATCACAAGAAGTAGATAGATTTGATGCTTACTGGAGCGCTAGACCTTTATGGGAAGTGATTACCCAAAAGGTTCCTCCTTCTTTGCCCAATGATGTAAAGAAGTGGTTGCTGAAAAAATCTTCGATTGATCAAGGTAGAACCGATGTGAAGAATCGTCTAGGTGACAGGGTGATTCCCGCCAAGGAACGCTTAGGTGCAAGAATTGAATTTAAAACACCTGCAACGCCTAGGAAGAAAATGCTACCAAAGGTAAAGGGAAAAGGAAAGCTAACACCACAGATAAAAAGGCTTGGGTGGAAAAGAAGCATGGAGTGTTAGCTGAAGGGGAGACCATCTACTCCAAAATTGAATGTAGGTCCTCTAAAGGATGCCTACTAGCTAAAGTTATGGATGAGGAGGAGGAAGCGGACAAAAATTGGAAAAGAGCTAGATAGGAAAAGAAAGATTAAGAGCATTGCTTAGCTTTAAATTTATTAGACTTAGATTATTATTTATTTTTATTTTTTTAAAGTTAATTTATTTCAGCTTTATTTAAATTCCATCAATAATGTAATTTTATTTTATTAATGAAATTTGAGCTTTCAATTAAATTGTTTAATTTAAATTTATTTTATTAAAGCAATGAAAACCGAAAAAAAAAAAATTAATTTTCCAGAAATTCTTCGAGTACGGAAGTCGAAAATTTTCCGAAAAACACCGAACATCGCCCAGAATTTATTTCCAGATTGGCGTCTCTTATTTGCAATTGGCGCCAATCATTTAAGTCTGGCGCCAGGCGCCAATATCATCGGCTGGCACTGATGATTGTCGGCTGGCGCCAGGTTCTTCTCTGAGACGCTGATGATTCGCCGATCTTCTGCCAAATTTTTACTTAATTCTGGAACGCGGGGATGTTGAAGAATAAAGTGGTCGCACCCATAAAGGGTTGCCTACTTATCCTTTCTTAAGGAATCAGGCCGAACGTAACTCTCTTGAGTATCCTACTCAAGTAATTATGGGTGGTATTTCTTAAGTTGGTCAAGATTTGTCATGTTTGAGAATTCATTGCCATCCATATCAGTTAGTTTTGATGCACCTCCTGACAGGATTGTTTTGACAATGTAGGGTCCAGACCAATGAGGTCTAAATTTACCCCTTGGGTCTAAAACATTTTTCCTTAGTGCTTTTAATACCAAGTCTCCTACTTTGATATTTCTTGTCTTGACCTTCTTATTAAAATGCCTAGCCATACGAGTCTGGTAACACTGAGTGTGATGTAGAGCTTCTAGTCGTTTCTCATCGAGTAGAATCAATTCTTCATATCTTGCCCTAGTCCATTCGGCTTCATCGAGTTTACTCTCTAGCGAAATGCGTAGGGAGGGTATTTCTAGTTCGACAGGTTGTACGGCATCCATTCCATATACCAAGGAAAATGGCGTATTTCCTGTTGATGTACGGATTGACGTGCGATAACCCCACAATGCGAAGTGAAGTTTGTCAGGCCAATCCTTATAATTTTCCGTCATTTTCTCGATTATAGTCTTTAAATTTTTATTAGCTGCCTCGACTACTCCGTTTGCTTAAGGTCTATAAGGGGAAGAATGATGATGTTGAATGCCATATTTTTGTAGCAATTCTTCACATTCGGCTTGAAAGTGAGTTCCATTGTCACTTATCATTTCATGTGGGACTCCATATCGACAAACAATATTTCTTTTGATAAAGAGTGCTACATGTTTTGCAGTGAGTTTAGCGTACGATTGCGCTTTGACCCACTTTGTAAAGTAATCGATTGCTACTAGGATAAATTCGTGGCCTCCTGTTCCTGGGGGAGTGATTTTGCCAATGATGTCAATTCCCCATGTAGAGAATGGCCATGGCGATGTGTAGGTGTAGAGCAAAGATGGAGGTACATGTTGTAAATTGGCATAAATTTGGCACTTAGAGCATCTTTTTACGTATTGATGGAAATCCCTATTCATTGTAGTCCAATAATATCCTTCGCGCATTATTTTCTGGACTAACATTTTGCCATTTATATGTGTCCCACAGATTCCGTCGTGGACTATTCGCATTGATCTTTGTGCTCTTTTGTCAGCATGAGGAGGGTATTCTCTATTGGTGACATAATTGAGTATGTCCGTGTACCATGGTTCTTCTTCTTCTTCTTCTTCTTCTTCTTCTTCTTCTTCTTCATCTTCTATGGCCTGGATGTATGCTGGTTTGTGCCTTTTTCGATAGTTAGAGATATTTGCTCGATTTCCGTCGGAATCCTAACCATTGAGTCTAATCTTGCCAAGGCATCAGCAAATTGGTTTTCTTCTCTTGGTAGATATGTGTATTCTACCTTCTCTAACTGATCGGTAAGAGTTTCCAGATAGGTTTGGTAAGGGGCTAGGCTTTCACTCCTTACTTTCCACCTCTTAGATATCAGATTGATGATCAAAGAAGAGTCTCCGAATATCCTTAGCTTCTTTACTCCCAATGCCAAAGTTGTTTCAAGGCCTACCACGCATACTTCATATTCAGCAGCATTGTTGGTAACGTCGAAATCGAGCTTTATGGAGATTGGAACATGCTCTTCTTTAGGTGATACTAGTAGTACTCCAACGCCACATCCCTTTTGGTTTGAGGCTCCGTCGAAATACAAGGTCCAAGTATCATCTTCAGTAACCATTAGGTCTTCATCTGGAAATTCATTGTCTTGCATTGGCGTCGAGTCTTCTATTGGAAAATCTGCTAGAAAGTCTGACACCACAGATCCTTTAATAGCTTTTTGTGGCATAAACCTTACATCGAACTGGGCTAGATTGATTATCCATCTTGATATGCGTCCATTGAGTGTAGATTTCTCGAATAGATACTTGAGTGGATCTAATTGGGAGACTACGAAAACAGTATGCATCAACATGTAATGTCTTAACTTAGTTGTGGCCCACACCAAGGCGAGGCACAATTTCTCAAGCGGTGTATAGCGTGTTTCGTATTCGAGCATCTTTTTACTTAGGTAATAGATTGCGTTCTCTTTGCCTTCTACTTCTTGTGCTAGCATTGCTCCCATTGTCTCTTTGTTAACCGTCAAATATAACCTAAGAGGTATTCCGGGGAGTGCTGGTGCTAATACGGGAGGATTTGCGAGATAGGCTTTGATCTTTTCAAAGGCTTTTTGACACTCGTCATCCCATATTACAGGTACATTCTTCTTGAGCTTCTTGAAGATTGGTTCACATATTGTCGTCAGTTTTGATATGAACCTACTTATGTATTGCAACCGGCCAATAAATCCTCGAATCTGTTTCTCAGTCTTGGGCGGTGGCATTGACATGATTGCTTTAATCTTGGTTGGGTCTACCTCTATTCCTCTAGAGCTTATGACGTATCCCAAGAGCTTGCCTGAGGTGACTCCAAAAGCACATTTTGATGGATTCAACCTCATGTTATATTTTCTTAACCTTTCGAAAAATTTCCTTAAGGCTAGTTGATGTCATGGAGTAAGGCAGATGTTGCACGTTGGTAAGTAGCACCCACGTTTTTCAACCCGAATGGCATTACTATGTAGCAGTAAGTGCCCCATGGCGTTATAAAAGTTGTTTTCTCCATGTCTTCTTCTGCCATGAGAATTTGGTTGTAACCTGCGTATCCATCCATAAACGAAAGAATCGCGTGATTTGCCGCACTAGGCGAAAAAAGCATTTGGCCACCGGTTCAAAACCCCCTTATGCCACCGGTTTTGAACCGGTGGGCATTTGGGGGGTGGCAATACTCGTATAAAAAGCCACCGGTTCAAAACCGGTGGCAAAAACAAGGATTGCCACCGGTTAACCGGTGGCAATAGCACTTCCCGGTTTTTTTAAGGGGATATTGGCACCGGTTCCTGTTCAAAACCGGTGCCAATAATGGGCAAAAAAAATAAATTTTTTTTTTTTGCCTTTTTTCCACTTAAATTGGTAAATAAACACTAACATATATATAAACTTACATATTTTCATAAATAAATGTTGTAATATTACAATTTTTGTCTAAAAAATTAAAATAAAATAAATGTTGTAATACTACACTAGCATAACAGCAGCACATAAGGAGCAACACAGAAGCAGAACACCAGATAAGGAGCAGCACAGAAGCAGAACACCAGCAGCAAAGTCGGCATATAGTGCGAGGCAGCAGCTGCAGCAGCAGCAGCCCTGCGAGGCAGCAGCTGCACCCCTGCGAGGCAGCAGCAGCAGCTGCTCTGCGAGGCAGCAGCTGCACCAACAGCCTTGCGAGGCTATGCCCCTTGTAATTTTACCAGATTAAGTATGGAGAATAAATGTACCACTTTCTGAAGTTGGTGAAGGTTTTGGTTCAGGCTTCCCTACTAGCTCGAATGCATAAGATAGAAATGTCAGAAAAGAAAAGGGAAATAGAAAGTCCTCACATCTGTGAAAGATGAGCACTACTAAATTGTAATTATCCATTTTATTATCTTCAAATCATCTAATTATATTTATCATGCTAAATAATGAGCACTACTAAAGATGTTGATTAAATTTCGAAATTAATGAAATTAATAACAATATGCTCACATAAGAAGTTTTCTGTCAACAACCAAACTAGTAGTGAACATCAAAAGACTATTACAAAATAGTAGGCCAAATTTGCAAATTTTGACAGGTAGATATGTAATGGACTATAATGTGAAATCACCTTTTTAGACCAGTCATACAGATAGCACAACCTCAATATCACCAGATATTATGGGAGAATTAATGCTATTTCAACTCAAAGAACTACAGCTTCCCGCATTATAGCTGATGCAACTACTACACATAAGCAACGAATGAATAACAATGCTAAATACAATCAACATAAAACACTACCACTCCTTACCTATTTACTTCATCATCTTGTAAGTGAGCAAAAGCATATACAATAAATACAATAAATTACATTTCTTTATCCTCCCCATTAAAGAGAGCGCAATATCAACCTAGATTCTAATGCCCAAAACAAAATATTTAATTATGAAAATTAAAAATAATAAAAAGGAATTTACCTTGCAAAGAATCATGTCAAGAAGATCAGCACCAGCTTTTGAATCACAAACATCGTTTTGTTGGCTGTAATCAAAATCAAACCAACCAAAATTCAGCAAAAGAATCCAAAAAAAAAAATTCAGCAAAAAAAAAAAACAAAATTAACTCAACAAAAAATACAAAAAAACACATTTACAAGTAATACACCATGTGCCAAGGAGTTGCTTTAATCTGGGGAAATCTAAAATATATCATGACACAGGCTACACAATCATACGAGCTTCCAATAATCTTATACCTTGATAAAATAATCTGAATTATAGATACTTATATCAGGCATGAACTAACTACAAAAACCAAATGATGAACTGAAATCCAACTAAGCTTCTGCATTCTGGCAATAAACCTCAAAATCTTATGGTTCATTTCATATCAAGATCCCTATTGGAAAAGATACACCTTTTAAAAGTTTTTATGCACACAAGAGCATTACAAAATCTCTCTTTAACTTCCTTCTAAACCAAGATCCAAACAAAAAATACTACAACCCTTTCCAGATAGAAGGAAAATATAAACATTCCCTGTCAAAATATTGCATTTAAATTTATATAAGAAAGACAACACAACAAATCATCACATTACTATACCATCACAAATAATTATAATATGTAGCACAAATTGAAACTAACAAATGCAAAGTGCAGGGGCCAGGGAGCACAAACTTATAAGACACAAGAAGCATACACAGTTTGATGTTGTTCCGAATGCACTGAAGTAATGTAGAGATGAACTCATTGATACTTGGACTCTTCATTATCTTCCCTTCAATTTCCAATCTCAGCCCCTCAATATAGGTGTAGTGCCAAAATCGTAAATATCCAAATTGATAATTGACACCTGTGTGATTGACATGAGTAGTCAGTCAAGTATTAGTTTATCAAGTATCATGTTAACCTTCCAAGAGACAATATTCGCACTCAGACTCAACACATTATGGTCTTACAAAGAAATCAGAATATTGATAAAATAGTAAGTTCAAAGGAATCAAAATATATACCCATACCATCAAGTCCATAATGAAAAAATCAGTCAAAATATACCCACAAAATCATTAAATGACAACCAATATAATATTCACAATACATCCACAAACCAAACTACTGAAATTTTAAAGATTGAAGTATCAAATACTCAAAAATACTCACAATGCAAATACTCCGTATACCCATAATTCATTTTGTATGGAGATTATTTTGATACTTGAGATGCTTGGAATATTTTTCTTGAAGATTTTTTGATGAACAGTCTCACAAACTCTTTTTCACTTGGCACCTCAATCATTTTAGCCGATGTTTCTCTCCACTTGTTAAAGAAAGAGGTGAAGCCTTCATTCTCTTTCTGCGTGAGGATTTCAAGTTCTCTATGGTCAGTCTCGACTTGAATGTTTCACTTGTACCTATCTACGAAAGCGTTTGCTATAGACTCCCAGGTAGAGGTCTTTTCTTTCTCGAGAGAAGAACCATTGTTGGCAAACGGTCTAGAGAGATAGTGAGAACAGAGAAGGGAAAACCTTCTTATCGATACCCTTGATACTCATTATTGTTTCAAATGCTCTTAAATGAAAGTAAGGGTTGTCAATTGTTCTGAATTTTAGGATGTCGTTGGCGCTGAACTTCTGCGGAAGAAGCTCTTTGTCCACCGAGACCCCTTGTGATGTAAGCTCTTGAAACTTGTAGTCACTAGACAACTTGCTTAAACTCTCTTGCATGAGGTCCATCTGTTGTTGCTTCACGGGATCATCAATCTTGAGTGCGAGAAGCTTCAGTATCTCAGTCACAGTAGCCAGTTGGTTCTTAAGATCATTGACTTCTTCTTGTGTTGCCATTATAGTCTTCGCTTTTCTCTTGCGAGCTATGGGTTTGTCGAAAAGTTGGACTTTTACGAAGAGGTTGTCTTTGATTAATCGTCCTTCCTTTCTTGACCACGCGCTGTAGATAAACCATTTTGTGTTTTAATTATTCAACTCGAATCATCTTGACTTTACGGTTTATTTTATAGAAAAAAAGAAAAGGGAGCATATTTTCGGCAAAAATAATGTACATATTTTTAGGGAATTAAGTATTATTATTGGAGGATTAATATCCGACCTACCCCTTAAAAAAATGACGGAAAAAACGCGCACACAAGACTCTTTTAATCATGGTCAAAGTATGTGTATTGGTGTGTGCGTTGAGTGTAAGTGACATGTTTGGACTCTTGTGTAAGACCATGGGACTTAGTGCCTAAACTCGATCATTGATTCAATTAAATATTATTGACAGCAAAATTAACCGAATTAAACAGAAGACTGATTAATTAGACCCTAGGTGATGACTCGACCAATAATCCGAAATGTCGGCCAAGCAACAAAACTGGCGTCGCACTGTGGAGCTTGGCGCCAGGCGACAGAACTTTCGTCAGGCGCTACACTCCATAATGTGGCGCTACAGCTCAGACCTTGGCGCCAATATTGGAGCTTCGGTCTGGGACTGTTTTCGGTGTTATTAATCAACTGGGGTATGCCTAAAGTCGTACTAGGTCAATTCCGATTAAAATATTAGACTTTATTGACTCAAATTAATTAATTAATTAATTAGGCAAAGTTCTTTAAGTCATTAATTAATTTAGTCTCAACACAAGTCAACAAACGGTTAAGAGAAACATAGAATATATATGCACAACCAATAATGCACACTTAGTCAAGTAGGCACAATATGATGCAATGAGTTCGCAACCTAACCATGGCTCTAGTTCGCTAAAGTTCAGGATATGGTTTAGTCAAAAGAGGGTCCATGGTTAATTGTCCGGATGCACCGCGCGGAAGCCTAACTGTGAAGGGTTGGCGCGAGTGGATGGGACACCGCGAGTTTTAGAAAAAACTCGCTTCCATAGTTTAGTGAATTCAACATCTGGGATGTAACCTTTGTTGCACGGAGCGTTCAATCGAGTAGATGGAGCATGAATTCCCAGAGGGTTATGTCCATATGTAGAACACATATGGATTTCAGAAAAGTGAGAAAAAAAAAATTCAATCAGAAAGTAGGATCGAGCAAACAATACGAAAAACCGGTCGAAATTAGAACGCATATTTCTGGCTCGGTATTGGGGGAAATTGGCGCCAGCAAACAGAGACTGGCGCCATCTTTTAACTGTAACGTCTGGCGCTATAACTAAAACACTGGCGCCAAGCTCTGGCCCCTGACGCTACTTCCCACATGCCTCAGCAGCTTTCTGTGCTCGATAAAATTTTCCAGTTTCGCGCGGTGTTATGACGGGCGTTAGAACGGTCGCACATTCCACACTCAATCAAATAAATTTATAAATCCTAAAACTAACCCCTAAACAAGTCTAGTGGTAAGTTCGGAGTCGAACCACAAGGAACGGTAATGTTGGATTGTTCTCGATCTAATGCTTAAGCTACGCCGAAGTCAGTTTATGGATAGTGGACACTACAACTACACTAACACACATATAAAGATCAAGATATTACAAAGTCTACTAGGGGCAAAGATCCACTTTGAACAATTAACAAGTTAATGGGAATCGATTTGATAATCAATCATGCAAAGAAAGAATTAAAATGGGAATTAATTACCATCAAGAGCAATCTCTCAAATTCCTAGCCTAGATCCCTCATTGACTAGGTGCATAGAAGAAATTTACCCAAAATGCAATCAAATATATAAATTCTAATTCACAATCCCTTGTTAAACTAGAACTAACATGCAATTAAGTTTGCTATCTTGGGAGATCAATCCAATCTAAAACAAACAACATGCCATCATCAATTCAATCAATTTAATCACACAATTATCATCAAATTTATCTCAAATAACTCAATTAACCATAACAAAGCTTCACTCAACACCTAGTAGAAGGAAATCTACTCAAACATGATTAACAAAGCAATTAATAAAGCATAAAGAGAGAAGAGAGTAAGAAATGCTCATTGATATAAAATGGAGATCTTCAAATCATCAAATTCCTCCTTTGATTATCCAAAATCCATGAAAACCATTGTGCTCCTCACTTTCTCTCTCCAAAATTTGAGAGTTTCTCTCTCTAAAAACCTAAAACTAACCTAAAAAAAACTATTCTAAAACTGAAAAATCTCCTTCTTTTTAATGAGCAAAAAAAAATCTATTTATACCCCTTACAAAATTGCTTAAGAAGCTCCGCAAAAAGTCAGCTGAAACGGGACAAGGTCCGACCGAACTCTGTGTAGGTTCGGTCGGACTCAGGGTAGGTTCGGCCGAACTCAGGGTAGGTTCGGTCGAACCTCCCTGATCCTTGTTTGGTCGAACTTTCCTGGTTCGACCCCTCCTGTAAACATGCTGAAAACTTGGTTGAAACTGCCTTGGAGGTTCGGTCGAACTTTTCAAAAGTTTGACCACACCTTGGTTCGACCGAACCTCTTAAAGGTTCGGCCACACCTCCTCTTGAACTTCCTCTTCTTCCCTTTTGCTCCTCTAGTCTTTGCCCATGCCTCCATAGTTGGCCAAGGGGCCTCCTACCGTGCTTAGGACCGTCATGGAACCTGCAAAAGATAGAAAAGATCACGAGAGCATGGGGATGATAAAATTATGCATAAAGATTATCAAAACAAGCGCAAATAAGCATACTTTTCATCCATATAAGAAAAGGAAGCCATAAGAGGAGAAAAGAGGTAGAAAACCTAAGAAAAACAGGAGAAAAGAGACCAATACACTACCCCTAAGGGTAACATAAATGTCACTCATCATGTTATTTCAGTCCTAGTTGTGAAAGATATCTCTCAAATTTCCTACGTGTAAAATTCTATGTTTAACTCAATACGGATGGTCTTTCCAATGAGATCTTTTTTATGCATATGACAATAATGTTAATCAAAATTACGCACATGAAATACTTAGAACTTTTCGAGTCTCATCCACTCATTCTAAATCATTGCTGAAACAAATTCAGGAATTAAAATAGAAATACTCTCAAGTGGAGTCGCCAAAAACTGTAGGGAATAGATATCAAGCCTTTAAATCCCACTAGCTTAAACCCCACTGTGATCATACAATAAAGAACGGTGGCGACCAAAAGGGAAGAAGATAGAGCAAAAGAGTCCCCAACAAGTTTTTTAGGAACTTGTAAACCGTTCACGAGGTGAAGGTTACACCCCTTAACGATCCAAAAGATCGTCAACTCCATAAGGTCATGAACCAAATAAGGGTTCGGGGATGAAGGTACAAATCCAACCTAAAAGAGGTTGAACCTGCCCTAAAAATAGGCCTCTACTTTATTCTGATCGTATTCATGTGCGCTTTCTGATTAACATACAATCAATAGGATTAACCCTAAACCTGTTTATCTATGTTGGTTGAATTTAATGCACAAATAAAACTATTATTGGTGATCACTTGAATTATAATCACATTAACCCTAAACAAGATTATTAATTATCTTATTAAGCGTGATTACAAGTACCCATTCCCTTTAAACATGCATAAAAGGCGTGATCAAGCAATACAATAAATAATGTATCAAGCAACATAATAATAAAATTATGATTATAAATAAAATAATCATCATCACAATAATAATAATAATAATAATAATAATAATAATAATAATAATATTCATAATCATCATAAATTATAATCATCATAATCATGTTCATGTTAATATTAAAGCATAATAAAAATAGCAAGATCCTAGGCATGAGACTAACAAGATTAATAACAAACCCTCGCATGTCACTAAGCCATAAAAATCAAATCTTTAGCCCTAACATGATACTAACAATCATAAATATTAGGAAGAACATAGGAAGCATCGCAACAATCATATTTAATATTAAAATTACCCTAAACATGATACTATGAA